AGAAATTGAATATAGAATAAATTGATTTGATTTTGATTTCTGTTAAAGCTTTGTAAAATAATCTGCAGTGGTGACCTACAGATAATGATACTAATAGTTCAAAAGATATTTATCTGAACCATTAATAAAGTAATAAATCACTTCTGAAGTTGCATTTAGAGTGACAATAGTCAAAACAAGTAAGTTGATTAGAGATTTAACTTTAGTAATACATTACTATATAAAGTTTACAAAATATTTAATAAAGTATATATAATTAATCTGACAGAAGAAAAAAAAAATAAAAAAAATAAAATATTAAATATATTTATTAAATATAAGTTGTCTTTTCAAAGTAACACTTATTAAAATATATATATATTTATTTATTAAATATAGTAATTTAAATATATTTTTATTTTTAATTGCAATTAAAATATAAAAAATTATTTATTTATAAACCTTTATATTAATAAAAAAACAAATAAAAATTTTTTTAAACTTGGATTTGTTATATTTTATTGAAACTTATAGATAAAAGAAATTGAATAACTCAAAAATCATATATTTGAATTTTCTTGTCTAATAAAATAAAAACAATAAAAGATCTCCTTTGAAGATCACTTTCTTGTAACTAGGTTACCCCTTTAAAGATCAGAGGATTAGTGTATAGCTCCACTAATGCTAAAATAAATTTCAAATATGTAAAAAAAAAAAAATAAAAGAAAGAAAATGTTGTATTCCTAGTTGTATGTTACTTTTCAGTAAGTTTGTCAAAGTTTAAGACCCACTTAACAAAATTATGTTTAATATCCTATTAAACTTTTCTAACCAACTATTCTTATAAATAAGAGGACAAAGTTGTATAAGCTTAAATAGGAGTGAAGATTTTGCATTACAAAAAAGGTACTAGAGAATTGAGAGAAATAGTGTGATTATGTTCGACTATTGTCTATCAGTTCTGGTCTCATTTCTTCTATATCCTATTTAGTATGGAATCTTTTGTAGATATTCTTCTGAGTAATGACAAGTTGAAGGTTTGTGGAGGCTTTGAAACATAAGGGAAGTAAAAGAAAGAGGAAGATTGAGATCTGTTATCTATCAATTTATTCTTCTTTACCATTGCAATAACACTATTCTAGAAAAAAGAATCTTGATACTTCTAGTATATCCCTGGCAAGCTTAATAAATGTCATACTATTTTCTCCAAAGTACTACTATCTATGGAGATTGAACTATTGTTTATGGTTCTGACATATACTTCAAGCATTTCTGGTCTAGCAATTGCAAGTTGATATTGATAATTAGGTGTAAATGATTTTAAGATCTTCCTAATCTTCCAATAAGCTTGTGATAAAAGATAGGCCTAACACTTTTAAGGCATTGTTTTTATTTTATATTTTCTTGAGTCTTCATCAATAATATAGAAGTTAACAATGTTTTTTATCTATCCATATCAATTCAATGACTTATAATAGATCTTAGGTTCTTATGGTGTTAAAAAAATATATTCAAACACATAAGGTAATCAATAGGAGTTTGTTTACTTCTTTTTTCTAACATGTTTAGTTGTGTTCAATCATGGTATGAGAAACTTTGTGCTACTTCAAATTCAGGATCAAATTGAAGTGGGCAAAATTCACAAGAAAAATCTTGAAATGAGTATTATTATAGTCAAATAAAGGTAGCAAGAGATAGAAATAAGTCTTTTGCATCCATATAATAAACTATGTAGTGTTTCTCTGCAGTATTAGGTGACTATATGTCAGTTCTTCTTCCTTTCAGAACTTTCTTACCATTAATAAGAAATGTTTTTACTGTATTTAACCTTTTTGATCACAAGAGATTGAAATTGTGTGAAGTAGAATGTAAACAAGAAAGGAAAGAGGATAAGATGACTTTTGAAGGTTAACTTCAGGTTGGTTTAAAGATAGTATTAAGACTTTATCAGCAGGAAGGAATAAAACCCTCTTGTGAGAGTCTTTTTTGTGTGTAGTCAAAGAATCAATGGAAAAAGTTTTTTGTAATAAAAAAATAAATAAAAATATCAATTAATTATTATGGAATATAATTAAAAATTTGATTAAAAAAATTTTAATTGTAAACTCAATAAGATTAAAGTACATAATATAAATAAGTTCAATAATTATATAAAATTTTTTTCAGAAAAGTTAAATATGAAAATTAAATAATATAGTATTAGTTATTAGAATTAAAAAAAAAGTTTTTACAATAGTTATATAAAAAATATATTATATATTAATATTAAAAATATTAAACCAATAAATAAAAAAATTTTAATTTAAATTAAATAGTACAAAAGCAATTTAAAATCTATAAATTCAATAAGATAGAAATAGAGATTAATTGATCTTTTGAAATTAGTTTACAGTAATTTATATAATATTTTTTATACATTAATAAAAATAAAAAATTTTTGACAAACTTAACTTTTGATATATTTTCAATATTGTAGATACTCAAAAAAGAAGAATAAATATTTATTCAATAATTATTTATTCACTATGCAAACTTTAAAAAAAAAACTCTAAGATATTTTTTCAAGTATTCAACCATAGATAGATTTAAAAAAAATATTTAAGAAAAAATATAAATCAAAATTGGTTTATATATTTATTAAAAAAAAATAAAAAAGAAAGATCAATCAGTTGTTTATAAGTAAATATAAAACTGAATAAAAAAAAATAAATAATTTGACAAAAGTTTTTATAATATAATAGTATAAAATTTTATCAATATCTATATAGAAAGTAATAAATAAGCTTTGCTAAAAATACAAAAAAATTTTTTAAAAAAGAGGATCTAAACACCGTATATAGTATATGATTAAAATAAGCAAGATCATACTGTAAATATTCAGTATATATACAATAAAGCTAAATGGAATTGTCTAATAATAAATTTAAATTGAATTTACAGTATCTAACAAATGCTTATTGAACATTGAATTCAAATTTACTTATTTTGAATATGCAGTATTGGCGTCTAATTTATTGTTAATCTGCCAAACTGAAAGTTAGCTCTTTACAAACTAACACTTATAAGTATATTCAACAGAGTAATACGCTTTATTAAATATGGCTTGCCGAAGAATTTGATTGTGAAATCAAAAATGGTATGTCTTTTAAGTTCATATTGTTTGTATTAATAATACTTAATATTTATTTAGGCCATTTAATACCTAATATCAAAAGTTGCAATTCAAAACGGCCTTTAATCTTAAAAAGGGCTTCGATTGCTTATTTCTTTGTTGCATTAGTAATTTAACATTACTTTTTTTTTTTTTTTGCCAAATACATGTATTCGCGCATCTGCTTAACTATAGTCAATTACAATATACTGTATAAGATTTTCAACAAACTAAGACTGTTCGTGACAGACAAGATTCTTGCATGTCCGCTTATTATGTAATAATTATGGCTAGCCCCGATGATCATGTCCAGTAAAACTGTCTTCTCTAATGATTTTGCAGAAGCATTAAAAATATCATAATGGAGTTAGGCTTATGGGTGTTCGTTAGCCTCGTGTCAAAGACATGAATGTTCTCGTGTAACAAACAAAGTTTGTGAATACAGATAAGGTGATTCGATTATAGTCAACCCTTGCAAATTTTTTTTTTTTTTTTTGTAAAAATAATTTATTATTAAGCAAGCACCATAGATGGGCCGGAAAGAAAGCATTATAATGGTTCCGTTGTGGTTCCTCGTTATATCCATCTTGTTCTTGCTACTTATTTTTTTTGTTCACAGTCGGTCATCAAATTTACAAAGGGCGGAGCGTGAATCCACTAAATCGTTTCAAGAAAATTATTTGTAATAATAACAACGTGCTCCAATTTTTTTTGTTAATATGTACCAATTGAGTTTAGCAAGGAACATACAATGTTAGAAATATTAAGTTTTGAAAATGCCCATTCTGATTTCTTTTAAGTCTAGGCTGTACGTTCAACTTCCGAGTAAACACTATTAGATGCATTTTAATTCTTGATTGGTCTTTGAATTTATCCGTAACTCAGCGCTAATTGCCTTACATTAAATGACTAATAATTGAAGATAGTTTTGTGGCAGCTTCAACCATACTCTTGCTAGGGACATGGCGCACAAGAATTGTGAAATCATTAGAGAGAAATCACAACCTTGACCCTCTTAAGATAATAATCTATTGCCATTTATTTCGTAGAAAAAAAAACTTGTGCATGTCAAATCCTCTCTCGGTCACCTATTTACTATATTTACTAAGCATGATGCAAAATTTGGAAAGATTTTCATTTGAGAATGAGATAATTTAAGGAATGATTATTCATTGATTCCATATAGATTTCCTTTGTGTCACTGGGGTTGAAGTGAATCTTTACAAAAATATCGTGCGTGTGTTCGGATTTCTATGCATTTGAAGCGGACGCGTGAGTTTAATTGCGTGTCCACTGGTTTGACTATATCGTGAATTCACTAACTCATCTAAGTATTCTTAGTATAGATCTTTCGCATCATAAGTCAGAGGACTTTCCATAAAGATTATTAATATGATAATGGCGAATACCTTTATTAAATCTGTTAATAATGAAAATCACTTGCAATTAAAAATTTTAGGGTTAACCTTATTCCAAATACCATATATATCTATTTGTTGACATTTATGACTAGCAACGATCATGGATCTTTTCAGTGTTAAATCTCAAAAAGAATATGTCTCCATCTAATCGATGCGTTTTCATTTATTAGAACCAAAGTTAAGGAACCCAAGAGTATGTTACACGCACTTTATTTTCCCTCCAAAAAAGTTTTATATGAGAAAACGGGATACTTATGTGAATGCAATACCTAAGCATCACGTGTCTTTCGAGACTCTTTAAACGCAAAAAAGGTCACCCCGTACTGAATTTTTGGTATTTCTCTAGTCTTCACAATATACATGGTGACGTCATTCCAAACGAAATTCAAACATATAAAGAATAGTCTGTCCTTCTTGAATCATTTAATTAACTTCCATATACATAGATTATGGATGCCGACGTGTCGTCTTCGTCTCTTTCATCTCCTTCGCAATCGGAACTTTCTGAAGACTATCAAAGTTTTATGGAAACCATCAAACCGCCCTATCCGCCTCGTCTTAAGCCACAAGACCTTTTGCCCAAACCTCATGACGGAAAAATACGTAAAATTCCAAACGCATTTATAACTTACCGGAAAGAATTTTGCTCAAACTTGAAGACAAAGAACATCTGTCTTACGATGTCTGACGCTTCTTTTTGGGCAAGCAAATTATGGTACAAAGAAAGTACGAAAGTTAGGATGACCTACCAAAATCTGACTATGCAAGCCAAAGTAATTAACGAGAAAATGGCGAAAACTCCAAGGAGAACCAAGGTCAAGGACAGTAATACCGATATTGTGATGCGGGGCGAACCAACAATGTTCCGAAAGGAAGATCTTGTCTTGACTGACATACCCACGTACAAGCAGGGAGCAATGCAATATGCAGGAGGCGAAGACTTTGGTAGATATAAATTGGTATATCCAAGTTTTCCAACTGCGGAGCAATCATCAACGGCTCCTCAACTTTATCAAAATTCTATGAATCCCTCGTATGTTCCATCAACTTCGCACGTCGATTACTGTGATTCGCCTTCGTACCCTTCACTTTTGTATTATCCGCTATACTTTCCCTATGACGCTCAACAGTTGTTACTCACTTCGGAAGGAACCGAAGCTACGAAAAAAATACAAGGAACTTGCAATTATATCATTTCCAATTACTCTACTTCGATTTAAATATTCTTTATTTAGAAATAAAAATTCTAATTTATTATGAATGCTAAGTTCTTTCGCATGCCAACTTTCTGATTTTTTATACATAGAGATTAAATTAAAAATGCTGTACAATTTTATTCGTATACTATATTTTCTTACTCCAAATTTATTTGCTTAGATGAGAAATGTCAAAAGCGGTTTTATTGATACAAGCACTCCATTTATCACTTTCACGTGATCACGATCAGTTTGAAATAAGATATAAAAAACCAAGTTAAATTTCGTATTGTTCTTTTTCAAACAAACAAATAACATAATACTTTGGTCCAAGTCATTTATCAACTTTTGATAAATAAAACTAATTATTAAATAAAATTTTTATATATAATAATATAATATAAAAATATAAAATAAAAATTATTAATTTACTGTAAATTAAGATTGAATAATATTATAAGTGATAAAAAAAACATAGTATGTATATATTTTTTTTAATTACCCACAGCCAGGCTAGATAGTAATTAATTAATCTTTAAGAAAACAAAGTACATATTCATTAGACAAGATAAAATTAAACATTTATATCATATCTAACAAACTTGTCTTAAGCATAATAGCCTCTACAAAAAAATAAAAAAAGAGAAAATAAAACTCAGTTCCTTCAAAAGATACAACTTTTCTGATCTTTTCTTAATAAAATAGATTTCTTGATAGGTTTTTCTTTTTCAGACTACATAAAGGACTTGTATCTTGATAATTTTTTTTTATTATTTTTTAGACCATAACTTTTTAGCCTTTATCTTTAGATCTTATACTGATCACTTAGGGATTTTTCATCTATTCTACTCAAAGACTTATTTTATTGTCTTGTTTATTATATACTTAAAAAAACTTGACCTTAAAAGTTTTATCAGTCTGAATAGTGGAATAAAGAGATTCTGTCTAAAAAAATAATAACTTGAGAATATATTGCTCAAATATTGTTAGTTTCATAATCTTTAAATTGAATAAATTTGATTGAAAAAAAGAAAGGATCAGGAAGTCAATTAACTCTTTCTTTCATTAATTTTTTTTTTTTTTTTTTTTAACCCGTTGTCAGGCTAGTTATGTGCGCTTTATTAAACAAAAGTAAACTATACATACATTTATATTATGTGTCGCTAAAGCTAA